TCGTTTCTACAAGGGCCATCAAATTTATCGGGCTCAAGGCAGAGCAGTAACTAAATGCGACTGTACTGCCACTTCTACTATCGAATTTGTCTTCTCAGGAACCTGAAGTTCCTGAGGGTAGGGCGCTTTAACACGCCCGATCGTTTGAGATCACTTTTCCTGGTACTCAGTTTGAGATTACTATTTTATGGTACAGATGCTTTTGCTCCAATATTTTATCGGATTCTGTTTATCCATGAATCCATCACGATAGGCAGTAGGGCTCTTGAACCGTTGTTTTTTTCACTTTCGTCAGATCTCACGCCGTAAAAGGTATATCGAATTTTGAATGTGCAGCGATGTAATTATACTTGAAAAAAAGAAAAAAAATACAAGTATCTCATGCAAAGGAAGGGAATGATTCAGTATAACTGCCTGACTTAGGTAAGGGCACCGTCCCTATCCTTCCTCGTAAAGTTGTTAAAGTTCCTGCTCCGTACTGGTAAGAGTGCGTTCATACTTTGCGGCAGCGTTTTGAGAGTCTCTCAGCGACTGTCAACGTTGAGAGCGTTTCGAGCGTCTGGAAAAGTATACTCTAGTTCGCTGCGGACGGTTGGGCGTGTCAGGCAGTATGTGCAAGCTGTCAAAGCCGTTCTCTGCCTTCTTGTTGAAGCGCGCATGCGACAAAAAGTGGTAGAAAACGAGTAATACGAACGATATGATACAGTCATATCATTTGCTCGCTTTAACAACTGGTGGAGAACGGGTTTGGCACCGCGCCAAACTCATCCCGCCTGACACGCCCAACCGTCCGCAGCGAACTACACAATATATAGCGGTCTTGCATTTTTTAGCGTCCACCCTCATTTTTGGCGTCCGCCCTCGGTTTCGGCGTCCGCCAGCGTTCAGCGAGAATCGGTACCTGCACTCCCGTAAGGAAAGCGCTGAAAGCGCTCAGAATGTTTTTGGACATTGAAAACGCTCACGCTCGAAACGCTCAACATTGCCGCGAAGTCGCTCACATTGCCGCGAATTATTGACAACACTCTGAGAGTAACAAAGATTTCATCAGCTGCCCTGCCTCAAAGGCTGAGGAATATCGTTTTTTTTTTATATCGTTTTTTACTTTACTAAAGTGACGGTACCATTCCAACCCAAATTCAAAAAACCGTTTTGAATTTCACAAAATATACTTCAGGATGCCGTCAGTGCCTTACGACTAGAAGGTGTTGATGCTGCGGGAATCGTAGCTCATGTTGGAGTGAAAGAAGATCGGAAGAAGCTCATAGAATTTGCCCTTGATCGGTTCGTTTCCCTTTTGGGTTTGTTCTTGTTTACTTACTTATTCGAATATGTATTAATTTATATTCTGTCATGGTTGTCAGCAGTACGAACTGTTATAGATATGGCAAACTCGACATACTGGTTTCCAATGCAGCTGTCAATCCTCATTTTGGTGATATTATGAGCATTTCTGACTCTCAATGGGATAAACTTCTTCAAATTAATGTGAGTTTTTGAAGTTTTCCCACATCTTCCAAATGATTCTGCATTTTCAAATGATCTGAAAACAGATTAATGCGAACGGCTGATTCAGTCTTTTGCAAGCGATAAAGTGTAATGTTCCGATTCATCGAGACGTTTTTAATATCTGCTGCAAAGAAATCTCTGATGTGCATTCCATGAATTGCTGGACTTCACGTGCAGTTCATGGGAGCGTTCCGATAATCTCTCACGTCAAAAGCTCAGAAATAGCGTAGTGCAGAACAATTCGAGGCAACCTTCAAGTGCATATGTTCCACTTATCACTGGCACGGTTCATCGGCACGATCTTTGGAACTTTTACTTCAGTGCGCTTTCAAATATCAACATGTATGCAGTTTTTTTGACGCAGCAGGGTAATATGATGCAGAATTTAAAAAAAAACCGAAACATTTAGCTATCCTTTCGGTTCATTTAATCCTTGTAATGTTGCCCAGTCTGTACCCTTAACCACTTCAAGATTGTTCAGAGGTGTCCCAAAGCGCCACTCCTAGA